AAAAACCCTGAGTAAAGAGCTTTTAGAGAATTTAATTAATATTCAATTTTTTTGATTCGACATTTTGAATTTTGAGAATCTAATATTCGATTATCAGGTTTCAGGTCGTGTAACGCAAAATTTAAATGGTTGTATCTGAGTGAAAAAAAATCGGATTTGAACGGGCCAAGAAAATTTTAAAAGGCAAATAGTAGTACTTTCTTTAAAAATTTGAACCAACGCTTAAAAATTTTTTTGGAGATTTTATAGATGATTGAATGTTGCCAAAAACGGCCTTTTTCACGCTTTTAGGTTAGAATATCTCGAAATCCGGACGTGATAGAGCAGTTTCGCTGTCATTTTTGGATTCAGCGTGAAAAATTACATGGGATATAGACGCTAAAACGACTTTGCCTGAAATCAGAACCAATTTTTTTCGAAATATTTTTAAACTGCGTTTGAAAATAATTTTTCATCTTTTAAGATTACTATTAAACTTAATTTAGCTTCTTCAAGTTGAAATTCCATCCATTTATGTCAATGTATTCGTGCATTAGTTTTGTAACGTCTTATAACAACTGACTGATTAACTTATTGCTTGCGCGCAAAATCAATTGCTTTTTCCCTATTTTAAAAAGAGTTCTCATGAGGAGAACCGGAAGAAAATATGCGCACCATGCAGTCAGAAAATTGCTTTTAAAAAGGTTAAACCAGAAAAGTTCCTTATAAACGAAAAGTTAACTAATCTAATAAAAAAATTTATCAACAATAATTTTAATTTAAATGGGCCTTTTAAAGATACCTTTTTCGTAATCTAGAAAAGTAAGATAGCATGTTCTACAAATGCTCAAAAAAAATTTCTTACCATTTAAATTAAAACTATTATTGATAAATTTTTAAATTAAATTAGTTAACTTTTCGTTTAAAAGAAGCTTTTCTAGTTTAACCTTTCCAAAAGCAATTTTCCTACCGCATTGTGCACATGTTTTCTACTGGTTCTCCTCATGAGAACTTATTTTAAAATTGATACTGATTACAATGTAGAAGGGGAGTAATCGACTCAAGGCGGGTGACAAAATAAAACGGTTTCCGCAAAATGGACAACGTAGGTTTTTAGAGAGAGAAAGATAAGATGTCCGCAGCACACAGGGACTACTGCGTGCTACGAACGGGGAAACATCTATATATAGAAAGAGAGATACACTGAAGATGGTTGTGTCTCTCTCACTCCAATGGAGAAAGTAAGATGGCCGCTATACACAGGGAATACTGTGCTTACGGTCGGAGGGACTGGTTGCTTCGATAAGGGACAGTTTTATAAAGAAAGTTTAACCTTCGTTTGATGTTTGTGGTGGCCCTGAAAAGGGCCGGTGGATTGGTTTTAGTATGGTCCGAAATTCAAACTTCGGCAATGACGGCGTGCGGCTCGGTCTGCACCAGGTAGGGGATCCAACACAAAGTCCTCTGGGGAGACGCCGACCGGTATGAAGAGTGTGTCCGGAGAAATGGGAAGCAGCTGTGTCCTGGAGAGGACTGGTCGAGAACAAATCTTGACAGGGGTTGGTCCGAAGAGCTCGAGAAAGATTGTCTGTGGCGATGGTAACCCCGATGGCGTAAGAAGGTTAATCGTGGACGGAACATATCTACTTTTCTCTTCGTCGGTTGAGCCTCGAGAGACTTCCTCTAGGTCAGATATCGGTGTACGAACAGGCGGCGGTACTGCTGAGTAATCGGGCACGAGCAGGCACAGTTCAACGCGTGGCGGTCGCAGGATCCGGCGGCGGGGATCCTGGGTTGATGAGTGCCCTCGCACTAGCTCCACAAAGAAACGGGATGAAGGAGACACTGGGCAGGACTGACCCGGGTCGTAGTATTTCGCGGAGTGTAGGGCAGTGTTTCGTTCCCGAGAGCCGAACGACGTTGAGTGCGATGTCGTGCGGCGTTTCCTGGACGGGGACGTTAGCCGCATGCAGCGGGCACCGGCATGTTCGAGGTACTGGTGGCGGTAGTCGCTCTAGGTTGCGGGTGCCTAACCTCAGCAAGGTTCTGGCACTGTCCCCTAGAGGATGTTGCACCACTTTAACCAAGTTGGCTACAAGCAAACCGAAAGAAATTCTTACGTAGATGCTCTGAAAAGGGCAGATATTTCAAGAACGAAAATAATTCCAAGCGCCCTGAAAAGGGTGGATTGTGTCAGGTGTTGAGAAATCCTCTCGTTCAGTGAGAGAATAAAAATAAGTCACGGCTTCTTCACGTATATCCTCTTTTAATTGGAAATCACCCTAAGAAGAGTGGTACTCTGCTGGTCGTGCTGTGGTCAGGCAAAGTTGGCTTTGGAAAAATCTAAGGTGATGAGTGCATCCGGCAGAGATGCTTCCTCTAGCGAAAACAGGTGAGAACTGAGAGAGAGTCTGGAAAACTTGCAGTATTTAAGTGCTACACCTACGATTTGCCCTCTCCCCGCCGCCTGTCCTTATACCGATATCGGACCTAGAGGAAGTCTCTCGAGGCTCAACTGACGAAGAGAAAAGTAGATATATTCCGTCCACGATTAACCTTCTTACGCCATCGGGGTCACCATCGCCCAGACAATCTTTCTCGAGCTCTTCGGACCAACCCATGTCAAGATTGGTTCTCGACCAGTTTACTCCAGGACACAGCTGCTACCCATTTCTCCGGACACACTCTTCATACCGGTCGGCGTCTCCCCAGAGGACTTTGTGTTGGATCCCCTACCTGGTGCAGACCGAGCCGCACGCCGTCATTGCCGACGTTTGAATTTCGGACCATACTAAAACCAATCCACCGGCCCTTTCCAGGGCCACCACAAACATCAAACGAAGGTTAAACTTTCTTTATAAAACTGTCCCTTATCGAAGCAACCAGTCCCTCCGACCGTAAGCACAGTATTCCCTGTGTATAGCGGCCATCTTACTTTCTCCATTGGAGTGAGAGAGACACAACCATCTTCAGTGTATCTCTCTTTCTATATATAGAGGTTTCCCCGTTCGTAGCACGCAGTAGTCCCTGTGTGCTGCGGACATCTTATCTTTCTCTCTCTAAAAACCTACGTTGTCCATTTTACGGAAACCGTTTTATTTTGTCACCCGCCTTGAGTCGATTACTCCCCTTCTACATTGTAATCAGTATCAATTTTAAAATAAGTTCTCATGAGGAGAACCAGTAGAAAACATGTGCACAATGCGGTAGGAAAATTGCTTTTGGAAAGGTTAAACTAGAAAAGCTTCTTTTAAACGAAAAGTTAACTAATTTAATTTAAAAATTTATCAATAATAGTTTTAATTTAAATGGTAAGAAATTTTTTTTGAGCATTTGTAGAACATGCTATCTTACTTTTCTAGATTACGAAAAAGGTATCTTTAAAAGGCCCATTTAAATTAAAATTATTGTTGATAAATTTTTTTATTAGATTAGTTAACTTTTCGTTTATAAGGAACTTTTCTGGTTTAACCTTTTTAAAAGCAATTTTCTGACTGCATGGTGCGCATATTTTCTTCCGGTTCTCCTCATGAGAACTCTTTTTAAAATAGGGAAAAAGCAATTGATTTTGCGCGCAAGCAATAAGTTAATCAGTCAGTTGTTATAAGACGTTACAAAACTAATGCACGAATACATTGACATAAATGGATGGAATTTCAACTTGAAGAAGCTAAATTAAGTTTAATAGTAATCTTAAAAGATGAAAAATTATTTTCAAACGCAGTTTAAAAATATTTCGAAAAAAATTGGTTCTGATTTCAGGCAAAGTCGTTTTAGCGTCTATATCCCATGTAATTTTTCACGCTGAATCCAAAAATGACAGCGAAACTGCTCTATCACGTCCGGATTTCGAGATATTCTAACCTAAAAGCGTGAAAAAGGCCGTTTTTGGCAACATTCAATCATCTATAAAATCTCCAAAAAAATTTTTAAGCGTTGGTTCAAATTTTTAAAGAAAGTACTACTATTTGCCTTTTAAAATTTTCTTGGCCATCTTCAGTGTATCTCTCTTTCTATCAATAGAGGTTTCCCCGTTCGTAGCACGCAGTAGTCCCTGTGTGCTGCGGCCATCTTATCTTTCTCTCTCTAAAAACCTACGTTGTCCATTTCGCGGAAACCGTTTTATTTTGTCACCCGCCTTGAGTCGATTACTCCCCTTCTACATTGTAATCGGTATCAAATTGACGCCCAATGTGGGGCCACGACTTCTTTTCGGATCCTGATGGATATCAGGATGAACCTTACCGCACGGGAACGATTCTCATGTCTCTCCGGGCTAACCGCGTTTCCCTCTTACACTTTTCTCACAATATAAATATTTCTCGCGTGAACTCAGTTTTCGAGTGCATCTTTTAAACTCCAGGGCCATGCTTGTCGGGGCAGGCCCCAATGCCTTTAAACACTTTCCTTTCTTCCACTTCCGGGAGTGGATACTAAAACCCGCTGGCGCTCAACAATCCTTTCACAATTCTCAATATGTTCAAGTCTAAATTTACGATTGGCTCCAGCCAGGGCCACACTACGGTCTCGATCAGGTGCCATTTTCTTGAGCAGAAATGGGCTAAAGATTCTTTCGCCACATACATCAGTGTTCCTGCACCAAAATCATGCGCAATGACCACAGCCCCGTATCACTCCGACACACTAACGTAAAACAAGTTAACGAATTTGCTAATTTTTTGTTTTCAAATTTTGAATCCTTTGACAAATTGATTCGCTCCGTTGCCTATTGGCGGCGATTCCTTGATTTTAAAATTCGAAAACAAATTGTGAAGGGTCCAATTTCTTCCACTGAACTAAAAGAATCCACTACTTATGTAATAAAGTTATTACAACGCGAAGAATTTTCAAACGAAATCAAATCACTCGACTCGAAAAAACAAATTGAAGGGCGTCTCACTCCGCTAGCCCCTTTTTTAGACTCTGACGGGACTCTCAGAGTTGGAGGCAGATTAAAACAGTCCGACCTTCATTTTTCTCAAAAACACCCTATTTTGCTACCACAAAATCATAAATTGACAATGGTCATTGTTCGCGATCAGCATTTAAAGTCATTACATGCCGGTGCTCAAGCAACACTCAACTCAATTCGGAATTCGTTCTGGATTGTTAATGGAAAAACGATTGTAAAAAACGTAATACGAAAATGCGTAACTTGCTGCCGCGCCAAGCCTCAGACTCCCACTTACCTAATGGGAGATTTACCGAAAAATAGAGTTGTTTTTGAAAAAGCCTTTCTTCAAACAGGTGTCGATTATTGCGCTCCCTTTTACATAAAGGAGAGAAAACTTCGGGACCGAAACAAAGTTAAAATCTATGTCGCTGTATTTGTGTGTTTCGCTACGAAAGCAGTGCACATTGAGGTGGTCAGTGATTTGACAACTGAAGCATTCTTAGCCTGTTTGTGTAGATTTTTTTCCAGACGCGGAAAGTGTACAGATCTTTATTCCGACAACGGCAAGAATTTTGTTGGTGCTAAGAACGAAATTAACGATATTCTCAAATTAATAAAATCAAATGAGCACAACACAATGGTGTCTCGAAATCTTATTGATCAAAAAATGAATTGGCATTTTAACCCCCCACGCTCACCACACTTTGGTGGACTCTGGGAGGCAGCTGTTAAATCGTTCAAGCATCACTGGATTCGCGCTGTCGGTGATAAAGTCCTGTCTTACGAGGAGTTTACAACACTCGCCACAGAGATAGAGGGAATTTTAAACTCTCGCCCTCTAACTCCTTTACCTTCAGATCCTAACGACCTAGCCGCCTTGACTCCTGGACACTTCCTTACAGGTGACTCTTTAACAGGCGTGCCAGAACACAGTTTGATGCACCTTCCGTCAAATCGATTATCTTCTTGGCAGAAAGTGCAGCAAATTAAACAGCATTTCTGGTCTCGGTGGAACAGAGAGTATTTGCATGAGTTGACTGTACGAAAAAGGTGGCACAAAGGTTCCACTTCAGAAATGAAAATCGGTAAACTTGTAACGATTCGTGACGACAACCTCCCTCCTATGAGATGGACAATCGGTCGAATTATCGCCACTCATCCAGGAGAAGATAATGTTATCCGTGTAGTAACAGTAAAAACCGCACATGGCGAGTATAAACGTAGCATAAAAAATTTATCACCTTTGCCTATCGACTCTGACTAACTAATTTCAATTTAAATCGAACAAAAATTTTTTTGTTTGTAAGTGATTCAAATTCAATGCATGTAAATTGTCGACTATATAACTATCGTTTATTAAGTGACGAAACTAAATGTCATATTAATTGCTACCGCAATGTGTTTAATTTTCTTAGAACATAATTGTTCAAGGGGGCCGGCATATGTTGAGTCCCAAGCTCAGTTTTTTTATGAGTTTAACATTTTATTCCGAAAACGTGACTATCTCAACTTTCTCAGGATTATTCCTTTATTTTTTTATTAGGTTTCAAACTAGCCTTAAAAATCTCGAGATCTTCTCAATAACTTGTCAATGCATTCTTTGTTATCGATACGAATCTTCGAAACTTTTGTGAACTACGATTTTATTGCTTGTAAACGAATTACCATCAAGCGTAATGGCAGTCGGTCGACCTTGGTCCTAATCCCTTAGATGCTCGTACACTCCTTAATGACAGTACCCCTTACTTGGTTTTCTCGCCATATTTCCGCAAACAGAATATGACCACACCTACATTTTTGGGAACTAACCCTTCCAAAATGACACCCCTTCTACCTTCTAACACCTTTTTCCCTCCTACCAAAATCTTGACTTACCCGCAGATACCAACCGATCTTGCTAAAGACAAGTTGTCTCGAATGATCTTGGAAAGTGTAACCTCACAGTTTTATATTTAAATATATGCTAATTGTATTGAAATTAAAATGTGCATTTTTCCTTGATAACGAACATAACCTCAACTTTCGATTCAATCTTTTAATCGATGTCCTGAACGATTCCTCGAAATCATAACTAATTTCGGGCCAGCAGTCGAGTCAGTAACGTAACGCAACAAATTGACATAAATGTAATGAATCACTTTTAAACTGCTGACAGTATTTACTCCTTATGAACGTACATGAGATCCTATATAGGATCCTATATAGGATTTTATATATGATCCTACATAAGATTTTACATGGATTTTTATATATATTTCTGTATGATGAATTCATATATGAGATCTTATATAGGAATCCATATGAGTTCATACGTAGGATCTAGTATAGGATCCTACATAAAATCCTATATAGGATCTCATGTAAGAATTCATCATACAGAAATATATATATAAAAATCCATGTAAAATCTTATGTAGGATCATATATAAAATCCTATACCTATAGGATCCTATATAGGATTTCATGTAAGAATTCATCACATAGGAATTTATGTGGGATGTCATGTGTGGATTTCATTGTTTTAATTGTCCATCTAAGATACCAAGTCGGAAATTATATAAAAAATTATGTCGGAAATTATATAGGAAATTATATGGGAAATTCAAATATAGATGTATATCATCATAGTTCCACTTTTACGCCGCCAGATGGTGCTAATTTTTTTCTCACAGTTGAGATCAGTCTTGAATACTATAAAAGCTGAGACTCTAACTCAGAAGGTGTATTGCAAAGCACAATTTCTTTTCTTTTCAGATGAATTACAGTAATATTATTTGATTTTTAATTAAATAATTTTTAATTTTTATAAACTGCCGTCTGCCAACTGAAAATTCCTATATGAAATCCTATATTGTTTCCTTTATATAATTCTATGTGAAATCTTAAATATAAATATATCAGAATCTACATGAAATCCTATATGATTTCTTATGTTCAAATCAATCATATATATGATCTCACGAGAGGATTTTCAATATGATTTCATGTCAGATTATTTGTAATAATTTTTTATTCAAGAATCGAAAAAAGATTTGATGTATGATTTGATATAGGAAAATTTCTGGTTAAGGATTGAGCAATGAATTTTGGTATGTTTTTTAGTGAGAAAACACGAAGAAAATTGACATAAGAAATTGAAGGAAAAAATGTGACCAGAAAAAATTGTAGGATTTCACATAGGAATTTACATAATTTATTACCTTAGAATACGTTTATAAGAATTTACATCAAATCCTACTTCAAATCATGTCTCAATTTCCTATATGATTTTTCATAGGATCCTATATAGTTTCTTACATAACACATAGGATTTTATGTGGATTTTAATATATGAATTTATATAACATCCTATATAAGATCCTATATGAGAATTTTCAGTAGGGACCAGGTTGTGGTACCTGCATTTTACACTTTTTTAAAAACATTTTTTAGTAATTCAGTTTTTATAAACAATACGTAGGAAATTAATAAATCAAATTATAAATACTATTCTTTTCGTCAATTAATAAAAATACCACATTATATTATATTTAAAGAACAACCGTAAAACAGGGTTATTTCGCTCAGTACGGGTAAAGTCGCTCACCCATTTTTTTGCTTTAAATTTGATTTAAACTAAAATTTAGTATTTCTATTAAGAAATTTAACATTTTTACCTCGTAATAAAGGTATTAAACTTTATTTTAAAGCTGAAATAAAGCATAAAAGTGGGTGAGCGAATTTACCCGCAATGAGCGAAATAACCCCGTTTTACGGAACCTAGAAGGATGATTAAGTAAGGCATAAAAGTATTAGATACGTTTCTGAAAGGAGAGTATATTATTTTTTCGCCGGTTTACTCGAATCGAATAATCGTTTCTTGATATATTAAAATTGAAGCTAACTTTACTACAAAACAATTTAAAGTTTAATTTAAAAATTAAATTAATTAAGAATTAATTTGTAAATCATTTATAATTTAGAAATATATATGTATATATATATATATATATATATATATATATATATATTTAAAAATAATGATTAAATAATAATATTATAATTAAATTAATTATTGTAATGATTAATTAATCACGAAATATTTAAAATAAATATATATGATTACATAGAAAAACATAATATTAATTCAAGAAAACTCATATATTTGTCCGTATTTGATAAAATATTTTCTTAATCCAAGAAAATTAGGGAATAGTTCTCTTGATTCAATACTATTTTTTTTGCAGTAAACTGATAATGGGTATTATAATATAATAATTATTTTTAAGATCCGCAAGTGGGATCCGCCCCAGTACCGAGCCAGTACAGACTTAACATCCGGCATTCTTCCGACGCCCCGTAAAAAAATGAGATCCGCAGGCGGAACAAATCCAGTACCCCGCCAGTACTGACGATTGTACGAAGGCTGATCCGAAAGTCGGAGCTAAATTTGTACCGCGTCGTTTGTATTTTGGGATCCGAATCGTTATACAGACCATCGGTACTGGCGGTCTGTACTGGTGCGGTTCCCAGCCGGTTGTAAACTCCGACATTCGTCCGACTTTTCCGCCTGGGTGTGTCCTCACTGTTATATAACATTTATTGAAAGTGTTTGCTGGGCAAAATCAATCATATCGATGTCCTGGTGTCTTATGAACAACTACCCCGAGAAGTTTTGGGTCAAACCGAATTTTTGAAACGTAGGGAAAAACTACTTACACTCATGACCAGGTGACTTCTTTGAAAAATTTTTTGGGAAACTTTTTAACAAATCGACTTTTCGAGAACTCAAATCTACATAAGCCGTCTTTTGTCGTCTCGACATCTCAAACATTCGATTTGATCAAAAACTTTGCGAAGAAGTTGTTTATAAGACACCTGGATATCGCGGTGAGTAGTTTTGTCATCCAGACGTCTCCAACATTGGATTTGACTAAAAACTTCCCGAGGAAGCCTTCCAAAAGACACCTGGACAACAGGTTAAGTATTTCTGTCGCTCTGACGTTTAAAAAAGTCGTATTAATCAAAAAAAATTTAGACAAAGTAATTTTAAGTCATCCTGACGACAAGCAAACATTAATATTCTTAATACTTAAGTACGTGTAACTCCTGGTGCACCCAGGATTTAATAAAGCACATATATTAGTGTCTTAATTTTTATCAAATAATGTTTTTCTACATTTTTTGAAACACCAGATGGTCGATTATGTAATTCTATTTCCACTTTTTATAATTTCCATTCCCACTTCAATTTCCACTTTTTCTAACTTTCATTTCCACTGTTTCTCATTTCTACTCTCACTTCCATTTCTACTTTTTTTTATATCCATTCTGAGTTTCAGTTACTCTTTTAGACTAATTAAGGATAACTAAATAATCTGTCAATTTATAAGACGCACAAGTAGCACAACCATCGATTTTTAATAGCAGATAGATTTCTGCTAGGAAAGTTCATCGTGCTAACACACCAACTCAAAAGTGACAGCCTACCCGAACAGCACTGTCGTCAATATTATCGTGTTTTTTGTCCTTTATATTAAAATCAAAATTTACTTACCTAACTAGAATAAAAAGAGGTAAAAAACGAATAATGAAAAAATATTGATTGTTAATTATTGTTAAAAAATAGTAAATTATCAAATTTTTTAAAAATAAGAAGTAAATGAGATAAACAATATATACCATATTAATAAATTAAAAAATTTTAAATATTCAACTAACTGAAAATCAGAAAAATAGAAAGTACGATAGGAAATTACAAAAAAGATTAAGTGGGAGTGGGAATGAGAAAAAGTGGAAATGATAGTGGAAGTGTGAATGAAAATTAGAAAAAATGGGAGTGGAAATGGGAATGAAAAAGCAGAAATGAAAATTAGAAAAAATGGAAAAGAAAATTGGAAGTGGGAAAAAAAATTTTTAAAAGTGGAAATGGAAGTGGTAATTACAATTAGAAAAAGTGGAAATGGAATTGGGAATGGTATTTCATAATCGACCCCCAGACTTTTGGCAAACTTTCTGACAAAAAGTCTGGAGTCATGAGTCTGCGAAATGTCTGCAGACTGTTTTATCGGGAGAATCCAATAAATTTTTAAAAATTCTTCCGCCATATTGGATCCGCCATTTAAAATGTTTAATATCTGATTCAAGAAAAAGTAATGAGAAAATGTAATGTTAAAAAAACGATGACGTAAAAATTATTACACATTATATAATGAGATTAAAAGTATTAAAATCGAGCTATTGAAAACATTTTTAGAATCCGTTACTTTTTGTATATTTTTCCAA